GACCTGCCTACCGGAGGCCTGGGGTGCCAGCCTGTGTGCAGGGCAGGCCTTGTGCCTGGAGGTCCCAGCAGTGGGCTCTGCCTGGGCCGGGTCCTGGAAACAGGGCCAAACCCCTTGGCAACAGGTCGAGGGATGGGGGAGTCTGTGGGCTCCCAGGGGCCAGGAAAGGGGACGCAGGCAGCAGGTACAAGCTTTATTGGATGGCAACAGAGGGCAGCAAGAAGGCTAGAAACAGATGTGGACACAAGCCCCAGCCCTGCAACCCACCCAGGTCCACAGTGACCAACCTGCTGCTACCAGGAGCTGAAGTCCCCAAAACCCCGACTGGGCTTCTTCTTGGAAGTGGGGACAGTAGCACTGGTTGAGGGCTCTTCCTCTGCCGCTCGCTTCCTGGGAAGAGAAAAAGCTGCTGGGAGCCCACACCCTCCACATAGCCCTCTTGTGTAGGCCCAACCCCTCCCAACTACTGCTCCCACGTCCCCCTGAATGCGATTGCTTCCACCTGCTGAGGCCCTGGCCAGGCCTTCAGAGGCGGTCCTCAGCTGCAGAGGCCACACAGCACAAGCCCACACTCAGGACCAGTGCCCGTGGCTTTCCTGCCCCTCTGGGTCTGACCCCCAGACCTCAGTCAGCCCTAGGAAGCATCATGGGAAACAGAGGACATCCCTGTGGCACTCACGTGGCTGCTGGATTGATGTACTTGCCCACGCCCTGGCGGAAGGTCTGGGGGCCTTGGCTCCCTGCCTGAGGCTGGCTGCACTTCACTTTGGTCTCCGGGGCAGCCTCGAGCTGCGTCTTCCGCTCCTGGGCGATCTGTGGCAGAACAGGGCGGTGGCTAACGGGCAGCACCTCGGGCAGGACAGATGCTAGGCTTGGGGCGGGTGGGTGCACTGGTCCCGACCCTCCTAGGTGGTGGCATCGTGCCCCCTCACCTGGGCATCGGCTTCCTCGTAGGGGTCCACAAACACTGTAGTGGTGTTGATTCGGATCTCCTCCTAGCAGCAGAGAGGGCTCAGTGCGCGGCAGGTCCTCCCCCGGCCTGCCTGGCCCCTAGCCACCGCGCCCCACCTCCCTGGGCACAGACCTTAGGGCGGTCAGTTTTGGGGTCACTCTCCACATTCTCCATGGCTGTGAGTACGTCAAAGCCCCCAACAACCCTGTAGCAGAGAGACAGAGGCGGGTCTGCATGTGCTCAGGGAGGGCACCCCCACGGCTGAGCCCCCAAGGCATGAGGGAAGAGGGGCTGAGAGCATGCCCAGGATGCTGGGGTCCTCCAGGAGGTTGGCCTGTCAGTCCTCCGGCAGCAGCCAGGAAGGCAGGGAAAGGGAGTGGAAAGGGCGGGGTTAGCAGAACATGGCCCTGGGCAAATCCACTTGGGTTTTTTCTGTTTTCTTTGGTTCCCCCACAACCCCCAGGAAAAATAGGAGTCACAAAACATGGCTTGTGCTTTCTCTACTGGTTTGGTAAATAGAGTTCTACCTGGCCAGAACTCTACATGCCACCTGTGTCTAACGTGTCGGTTTCATGCTGCTTCCACACAACTGGGTGGGTGTCAGAGACCATGCGGCCCACAATGCTGGAGAGACCACTGGACTAGAGGGTGAAGGGAGCCATGCGTGGCCAGACTTGGGAGTGGCGTGCCGTCAGTTCTCAGACAGGGCAGCAGGCAGGCCATCCAGGGGCAAGTTTCCTCCTTTCCTCAGCCCGGTGAGTCTGGAGAGCCAGACTTCTCTGGCCCATGGAGCACCCCCGGCCCCCGCTCTGCATAGCCTCAACCCCCAGCAGTGACAGCCAGTATGGCAACATGGCTCAGGTCTGGTGAGGAGGCCTCAGACAGGGAAGGAACCCACCTACCCCACTGACTCCCCAGGCTTCACACAGCCACTTCCCTTACCGTCCAAAGATGGTGTGCTTCTTGTCCAGGTAGGCACAGGAGCGAAATGTGATGAAGCTGGGGAAGAAGGCAGGAAGGTTAGGGAGAAGGCGGCAGCTTCTGCCACTGGTCTGCCTGGGAGCACACCAGGAGCTGCCAGCCCTCTACAGCCAGCTCTGGAAACCTGCAGCTTTCATGGACACATGTGTGCACAGGGCTCCCAACTATTCCCCACTGTTCCCCAGTGGGGCAGGTCATTAGCCCCCAAGGCTGCCTAGAGGACCCTGGACTTCAGCTGCCCCGCCTGCTGCCCATTGTTCATCGGGTAGTCCCTGTGCCCAGAACGAGCCTGGCCATGCAGCTCTGTGGGAGGTAGCTTGAATGAGGGGACACCTGGAAAACCTGAGCCAGCCCCATGCCATCAGACACCTGTCGGACTGAGGACTCTGACCAGGAGAAAGGAGGCAATGAAGCCAGTTAAGAAAAGTGGGTAACATAAATAAACATGGACCAAGAAAGTGCTCAGGTCGGCCAGGCACAGTGGCTCACGCCTGTAATCCCAGCACTTTGGGAGGCCGAGGCAGGTGGATCACTTGAGGCCAGGAGTTGGAGTCCAGCCTGGCCAACATCGTGAAACCCTCTATTAAAAATACAAAAATTAGCTGGGTGTGATGGCCTGTGCCTGTAGTCCCAGCTACTTGGGAGGCTGAGATAGGAGAATTGCTTGAACCTGGGAGGCAGAGTTGCAGTGAGCTGGGATGGCGCCACTGCACTACAGCCTTGGCAACAGCAAGTCTGTCTCAAAAAAAAAAAAAAAAAAAATGGGGTGGAATTAAAGCACCCAAAAGCACTGCCATGAGAACAGGACAGAGTTTCTGCCAGTCTGGTCTGGGAGGAATGCAGAGATAGTATCTCATAACTTTGGACTTTAAGTAGAAGTCCTTCTTAACCTTAGACCAGAAGTAAAATATCTAACTTCCAAACCAGGAGAAAGAGAAGAAAAGCAAATGAAAAGAAATATTAAAAAGGTAACTAGAAAGCAACAAGATCATAGAATACGACAGACTACCTGAAGAATTCAGTCCACACTTAAGACTGTCAGGATCAATCCCAGCAGTTTGGGAGGCTGAGGCGGGCGGATCACCAGAGGCCAGGAGTTTGAAATTGACCCGGCCTACATGGTGAAACC